AAATGGATTTTTTAATTTTGTGAGATTGGTTGACAGTAACATGACTATAGATCACACCAGTAATCATTAGAGTAGTTTTATTTATCCATTTATAAGGTAAACAGTGTGTGTGAGTGGATATGTATTTAATATACTCCTCTTATTTGTCAAAACCTGGCTCCTACATTACCCACAATGCAGCTATATAGCAGCGGCTAACGTAGCCTCAAGCAGAGATGAGGACCGGTAAACTAACTTCTTCCACTTCCACATACGCTGACTCGAGTGACATCACATGAGGCAGTTTATGATATTTTGTGCAGCTCCCTCTGGAGGCTAGGAGCATAGTGCTTCCAAAGACCTGTAGACAGTAAAATCAGTGGAGTTCCCCTACACACACACACACACACACACACACACTCTGATCCCTTATCATGTGACTGTAAATAAACACCATACGATACTCCATGGATTACACTACGAAGGTTTCAGGTCTATATATATGTCACTATATCTGCTATGTAATGATGACTTGTGAGAGCCAGAGCCGGATTTACCCTTTAGACACCTTTAGACCTGTATCTTGAGTCCACGCTGACACACTCCCCTGCTCCACCCAGGGTTTTATTTTTACTGTATGTGAGTTAAGTGATATGATTCTCTGATTAAACACAAAGGTTGTAATAGGTTAAAGGTGGTGAATGCTGATTATAACGCAGGCGAGGACCAACGCCATCACTAACTGCGGCCTCAGTGCTAAAACACATGATTTAATAAATAACACAAACAAAAACTGAACATTATAGGCGTCATAAGAGCAGGATGACGTAATGGCATAACAATATGGTGATACTACTAGGTGTTAGTCAGGGATTTTATGTAAGCCACCCATTTACTGTAAGTCATTTTGCAGATTATCATTTTGCTTATCGCCATCTGCTGGCAACACTGAGAAAAGTCCTTACAGTCTCTTTCTAGATCATTTTTTTGTTGTAAAAGTTTGTAAAATGGTGGTAATAAAAAGCTTGTGTTTGTGATGTGATTTGAAAAAAAAAAAAGAAAGTTAGGTCCCCTGGGGAGCTTGTGGTCTAAGATGAGTCCCTCATAACCACAACTTCCCTGCTTTGAATCCAGCTGGGGAGCTTGGAGGAGCATAATCTCTGTCTTTATATTGAATATATCAAATAAGGACTTAAAAAGAAAACCCTCAAAAAGACCAAAGAGGAGCTTTTATACATCTGATTTGTGTTCACTAAACTAACTCATGTAACAACCACACACACACTTCCCTAAATGAAGGAAACATCTATTAGTTTATATATATATATAAACAAATAAACTAACAAATATATAAACCCACATAAGCAGAGGCATTAAATCGGTCGAGGATTATGGTTAAAAAATAAATAAATAAAAAAAACCCTGCTGTCAGCACACACTTGCCTGTTATCTGAGCAGTCCAGAAGCAGAAGTTAAATGCAGAATTATGGGATGTGTTGTTTCACTTCTGCTTTCACCTGTTCCGGTTTAACACGAGCTGCGAGTAGAAGAAGTCACTGAATGAGCAGGAGGGTTTTTACACTTGTTTTCCCTCGGTCGGTACGGTTGAATGATGAGGCGGAAGAGTATATCCCTAAAGGTGAGTGGTTTCCCTGTTTTGAAAAATCTAATTGCTATTTATATTAGTGTTTTAAGAGGCGTTAATCCGGAAATTGATGTACTTTTCTTTTTTTTTCTTAGTGGTTTCTACCTTTTAGTCATATTATCTTTTTGACTGACATTATGTTTAAGTTGTGTGAATGTCTTGTGTTTTTACTTTAAAACTAAAGTTTGGAGTGTAGTCATCCAACAGCAGGTATTATGTACCTTATGCTACAATCTAATCATTTATACAGCAACGCCGTAGTAGAGAAGAGAGGAGTTAAATTCAACACAATCTAAAGAAAAAGTTGACGTTATGAGCTTCATACAGGTAGTTATTATGGCAGGATTTGTTGTATTGTAGCATTTTACAGGCATTTTACAGGTCATATTATTTTGTCCACCCCCTGGGCTTTCCGTGCGTGATGTTGGTCTGAACAAACAAGAATGTGGTTTCCTGTGTGTCTGTGTGTGTGTGTATGTGAGTTAAGGTGCCTCTGTGTGACACATTTAACGAGGCAGATCTTAAAGAACAGGCAGTAAAGATCTATAATATTGATCAGAAGGTGCTACCATTAACTGTAATTCACTTCCTATGTCCATGTTTGATGACCAGATCAAGAACGAACTACAGCATGACATCTAGGAGGGGTAGATGAGTTGAAGAAAGGATTTTTTTAAAACCTTGAGTTGAAAAGGAAAGGAAAAAGAATGTGAGTATGTTCTGTTTTACCTGAATATGTTTGTTTTTTTTGTTTGTTACAACAACATGTACAACGATACACTGGCAGGGCCGCAGCCACATGTCCCCCAAAGCCCACACCACCCACACAAGTTGTGCGGACGTTTGGTTTTACGTCCCACAACTTTCCTGTATTGGTTCACTCTCACTACTCTTATTAGTGTCGTTTCCCCCAGAGAGAAAACTCTGAAAACTCACTAACCCAGCACCAATATTTCCTCCGAGAAGAGCCAAACAGAGATAAATCTATACATTAATCGGGGTAGACAAATGAATGTTGCTCCATAACTGCTGCATGTGTAAATAAGCCACTGATTTCTAACAATATGAACTTAAGGTGATCATGTATCAGTGTTTCCAGCTTCTTTCTGCTGCCCCCTAGTGGCAGAATATATGCTAATGCTGATTTAAGTTTAGATTTGCTGTCTAAAAACAATGAAATCTGAAGATGTTTAAAGTTGATGACCTTGTTTAACTTCTGAATAATAATTTGCAAACCTCATCAGGTGCTTAAACCTCTTAATTCCCAGACACAATACTACTACAAGAACATGCCCTTGGTGTCACTGGGCAACATTAGGCAAGAGGATGAATTGTGAATCTTACAGACTGGTACAAAACATTCTTATCTGTGAGCACAGAGTTAAACTAGGAAACTCTTTTTAGACTAACATCACTAGTAGGTTCCTCTTCATATTAGAGGAACAATGCATTCTTTAGAATCAAACTGTAAGGGTTTTAATTTAAACAATTTACTCCTCCAGTGAACTATGGCGCTGTCCGTTAGAGCTCCTATGTTGATTGAGGACTCCAGCCTGACAAACTGGAAGGTGATCGGTTCAGGGGGTTTCGGACAAATCTACAAAGCCAGGCATCTCGATTGGTGCTATGACGTGGCCATTAAACTGCTTCATTACGACGACGGGTGAGTGAGTTGCAAAGAGCTTCTGTTCTTCTGCAATTAAAAACAGAGTTTGTGGATTACTCATAATGTAAACGAACACACGCACACAGGACCAGCACATCTTTGCTGCGTGAGATTGAAATGACGCGTCAAGGAAGCAGCCCTTATGTTATTCAGGTCCTCGGGGTCTTCAAGGGTCGACCGCCCTCCTCTGGCCTGTCAGCACAGCTCGGCCTGGTCATGGAGCTCATGGAGAGAGGATCACTGGCCTCCCTGCAGGTAACAAGTGGTGGAATAAAGTAATGTACTTAAAAGTATCAGTATAGCCCCTTTTGAAGGTGTTATATTGATCTTATAATTGGAATATTATTACAGATTGACACATAAACAGCTGGTTGAGGTGGAGCTAGTGTAGCTGATCATATGTTTTGTATGTGAAATCATAATCTGCAAAGTAACTATATTCCTAAGACACATGTAGTGGAGTAAAAAGGGCCATATGTGCCTCTGAAAAGTAGTGGAGTAGAGGTATAAAGTAGCATGCGATAGAAATACCTCAAAATACAGTACTTGAGTAAATTTAGTTACACTCCTTAAGTAACTTACTGAATGTGTATGCCTACCTGCTTTGTTCTTTCCTTACTTTTCACTAATTGTGGTCTACTCTATTTCTTTTTCCCCTAATTATATATTCAAACTTCAACTAAAACTATATACTACTACTACTACTACTAATTAATAACTTATAATAATAATAATAAGGGCTACGCTTAACACCCAGCAAATTACTAACATTACTGTTCCTTTGTTTCCTTGGTCTTGCACATGGAA